ATAATCAATCCTGTCAGTCCTATCAATCCTGTGAATACATACATATATATCCACAATTTGGTGACCCCGACGTGTCGTGTGCACAGCATGCTACAGGTATCTAAGACGATTGCCGTTATGATACTCGTTAGCATTCGAGGGACCTAAAAAGCTAAAAGGTCAAGCGACAAAAAAGCTCTGATTATCCAGATTCTCGGCGGGCACATTGCAACTGAGAAGGCATGAATAAAGCTAATTGAAAATAGCATTAAAGATTGCGCTATATTATAAGCAGAAACGTCTTTGTTCTTGCCATGATTATATTCAAAGTAGCTTACAGTAATTTCACAAAATTCATCTATTACATACATCAGCATTGAGCTATAATTTAGTTTTTATTTAGTTTCAGAACATCCATTTTCGAATAGGTTCGTATCACTATTTTTTTATTTTCACTGTCAATTCCACCAGTGTAGATCACACTTTTCATTTGTGTTCTACACATTGTGTCAAATATACTTAGGTTGATGAAGAAGAGGTTCTGGCAGTGTGAGGCTCTCTGTTTATGTTCATCGTGTATATCAAAGTATGTGATAAAGTTTTCGTAATTGTTGGTGACTTATTTAAAACTTTTATGTTTTATTAGATCTGCACGTTATAAGTGACGGTAATATTCAGTGATAAAAATCCTCGCTTCAAACTTACTTATATCCCATTTTATTCATTTTTTGTCATATGTGTTTACACGAGAAAGGGGACGATATAAAATAAATAAGAACAGAAATACGAAGTTTTTATTTAAAATTATCATTTTAATAAAGGAGTCAATTAGGTACCCATTCATTCCTTTGTTTAATTGTTATCTTTCGGGTTTCAACCAATTGGGTGATACCAAAGGTGATGCAGTATTTGTTTAGTAAACTACACTATTAGCGCAATACTAGTTGCCTATGCCACCTGCTTATGGACCACATATCTTAACCATTAGGTATTTACACCTATTGTCTCTAATTCATCAAGATTTCCTTATTGGATTGTTCAAAAAATGAAACTTCCGCAAATAAGAAAGTCTATGGATAATCGTCATGCACTTTTTTAATGATCACTAACATTGAACGTATATATAAAACAGCATTATGTTGACGTAAACATAGATACTGATGCGGCCAAAAAAAGCAGCAGTATAATATGGCAACATTATCTGATACGTGCTAAGTTGATGGTTATTTCGTCAGTATTAACGCTAATCTATTCGTTGTGTATGAAATCCTCAAACATATCTCAGGGTAGATTTCTTAAATTTAGTATGAATTCCTAGCGTTTTTAATTGATGATCACAAGGACTTGGAGATGTTTTATGGTTGCATTATGAATTCATTCATAGTTTAATTTCTAATATTTGACGTATATTATATGTATTCTACAGAAATCCTAGAGTTTTGTATATTAATTTTTCAATTTTAAAGATTTAATCTTCAGTTTCGACCTCCTGTTTATGATGAGATAAAGATCTTGTAACCTACCGTATGTCTCATTTGGCGTTTTATTGATATAGTATTTCTTTCTATGTAGGTCTTTGGTCTAAATATATATCTAGATATTTGACAACACCATATTTCAGATTCCAATTCATGAGATGTTTAACCTGTCGAAAAGTAAATATTATGACCTCACATTTTCCCAGGATTCTAGTGAAAGAATTATAATCGAAATCCATTTTACCAGTATTTATATAAGGAGAAAAATATCTATAGTTTTTGTACTTTTAAACTGGTCTTTAATTAAACAATAACATATACATATATGAGTCGTACTAGTTTCGGCTATGTGCCATCTTCAGAGCCTAATTTTACAATGTCGTGAAGGAGATTAAGATATCAAATTTTGTTGTATATATAATAAACGTTTTTAAAATGTAAACGTGTAACTTAATTTATTTTATTTTGTAACTTCAACATTTTATAATGAATTCAGAACAGAATAAACTACTGAATGAAATTCTTAGAATTTGTATCAAAAATTCGTAAAGTTTCACGGTCGGTGTTATTAGAAATAAAACTAAAACTAGAACCGTATGTGTTATATCTTGGGTTAATGAAAACACTGTTCAAAAGCAAATTCGAGCAACTTTTGAACTTGTTTCATGGCATAACTGGGAAGGTTCTAGATTTAGTTATATTTCTCATTATTTGAATTCTAATTATAACTAATTATAGTCACGTTAATTTGCAAATAAAACATTTTGGCCATTTTCATGAATCTAAACATCACGTAAACATATATACAATAGCGGCCCTGTTGATTTTTTATGAATCGAAATTTACACTGACGTACTACTTCCTATCTTTGAGAAATGAATAATTAACGCTTTGAAATATTCTGAAATATTACTTTTTAAAAAATTATATTTTAAGCTATATTACAAGGGACCCAGACATACTGAAACACATGATATTATTATATTTAAAAAGTTCATTGTTAGGTATTTTATTTATTTTTTATTTTATGTTATATTTACAGAAAGATTAAATTTATTCTAAGGAAATAATCCGTTTCTAGTTGTCTTCTGTCGATTTATTTTTATTTAAAAGTTTTCGTTTTACTTTTCTTTCGCTGTCTATCAAATTTTGTAGTTGCTCTGAAAGATATGTTCCCAATCTAAGTTGCAGAAATTTAATAGTTATAATGACTGATCGTATTTGATTGCCTTTGACTTAATGAATTGATATGAATGATTTTATTAATTTGTACTTGAGTGGAGAGGTCAAGGTGAACATAATATATTTTAATGAAACATCTATTGTTAATCACACCGCATAGAAGAAGCTTTCAGAATTTTTCAATTAAATTATTAGGAGCATTTTTAATACATTTTATAAACTTGAAAATCACCAACACCATCTGTATATATTTTTTTCTTGCTTCACCTTTTCTAATAGCAGTATTTTTAGCTCTATTTTAACAAATGCCGTAGGATCCGATGAAATTTCCTTGATAAATACTCTGTTTTCCTCGACTAATCGGTCTTATTACTCCTATACGTGAAGTTACTAATCTTCATTAATTGGCTGTCAACATCTTACTTATTTATGCAAACATCAACGGCACCAAGTATCTATAATGTAACGAAAATTCATAACCCAGACATCTTACAGCAACCTATCGGAAGCGCAATTAACTCATATATTCCAGCTTGCTAAAGACCTCACCAAATTACTGTTACCCTTTAAGACAAACTCATACTTTTTAAGATCAACATACATTGTGGAAATAATTGGCTTTGATACAGGAAATATTAATCAGCTTCGATATTAATATTAATAGTAGATATTAAAGTCAATATTAATAGTAGTCGTGGATTTACGACTTATTTAAGCGGGAACGGAGACTTTTATGAGCAAAGTGTTCCACGTTGGACAATATTAAGGTTGATATTGATTGTGAGTTGGCAATACTTCGTTGAGGAGAAATTCTGTGAACAGATGAAGGTTCTCTACCCATCTAGCTATTATTGACTGTATCTTGATTGTACAGATAATAAAAGAGTTGGGTCTATTATCTGTAGATGATGTTGAGTAGTTGGTGACTGGTGGTAATTGACCGGAAGTTGTGTTCACTGTGAATAAGTTAATAGCATCTTGCAAATTAATGGTATATCCCCAAAGCAATGTTGTCATTATTTACCCTTGGAAATGTAGGTATATCTTAGCAGGATACACTATACCAAAATGCAGGGTTCGATTGTTGACCCTCCCGATTTAAGATTCGAGGGCCATACTGCATAATTATTCGGAAAATTTTTTACTTCATGGACTTGTTAATTATGTCTTTGCCGAAGTGGCTAAAATCTCATATCTACTCTCTTAATTAGTTATGATGACATAGATTGGGGCGGTAGCGACCATGTATTTCCTCTTACAACCGAAGGGTACAAAAGTTTTTGTGGAACTTCATCGGAAAAAATAGTCACTTTTACCTCCCTAAGTATTTTGACACTTCACTCAGCATATATTTTGAAGTGTTTATTGTACTGCCTTGAAAACGAGGACTAAATTGTCTTACTTGTTGACATTTAAACCAAATATTTCTATACTTGTTTGTTAATTGAGTAGAACGTAGAAATGGCAATCAATTTCTAACTAAAAATACTATATTTGTCCTAGAGATTCTTAATTGTAGTGTTGATATTCTATAAATTGTACTTTATTTGTTTACAACTTGTTGAATATTGTAAATGATGTGTATAAGTCATGCCTTTTAATTATTATTAATTATTATTGTTATTACAATTACACCAGTTGGGTTACAGAGATCAATATATTCAACTAAATCATCAAGTGACATTCATGTAGGTTTATGACACTTAATTGTATTATACTTTCAAACCGAAGAGCTATCTACGTCACAGAAAATTGTAAATAATGACAAAAAAAATACTATTCATCTAACCAACATTGTTTTGTAATCAATTACTTAATTGACCATGACTTATGAAGCACGCAATCTTAGTATAATGCTTAATGCATCGCTCAAATTTAAAAAATACATTGGTATACTTTTAAAACGATTTTATTTTACACCAAGATTCATGCCTCATTACATATTGTTAGCTGTAAAATTAGGGTTTGTTTGCGTAAATGCCGTTTTGGTTTTCAACAAATTGTAAAATGCTCTCTACGACCCTTGTTTTGATTCCGTCGATGTTGGTAGTAGCAAAAATTAACAAATCTTTGCCTCTACAATATAGACAGACATAAGATACAATTTAGACAGATTATCGTTATTGTAAAACGTGCCTAAAATTTATAATGATATTCTTACATTTATAAAATTTGCAAATGTTTAATGAAATATAAACGCGTGATAAAGATTATATATTTTTAAATGTAATTTACTTAAAATAATAATCACCACATCAAACAATACATAATGACCTCGATTCTATTAAAAACAATTTTTTAATGCAATCAACTAATTATTATTTAGAATTCTTTATTAATTAATTTAATTTTATTTTACAGCTGCCCTTCAGCATGTTAAGAAGAACATTGAAGCTTTCGATGTTCATAATGGCATAAAAGAAATCGATCTACTCTTTTTAAAAGCACTAATGGATAGTCCAGTTTTACAAAATTTAATGAAGGTATGTTTATTTCGAACGAATCTTAAAAAAAAATAAATCATCAAATTGAAAATGTTGTGACTGAAACTCATCAATTTCTTCCGAGTTACTACTCCCAATTCCTGTCAACAAGATCGCCTAATAAATTTCAGAGGTCACATTTGACGTTCGTTTATTATTTTTAGTGTTTGATTTATTCGCGAATATCCAGACGAGTTTCCATAAAATCGCTAACTTAGGATGAAGATAAAAGGTGGTCTAAATTCTCTTTTACTTTTATAATAGATTTTTAATTTTCCCTTTCTTATTAACTTTCTTGGTAACTTGTAGCGCGAAACTCATTAAAGATTAAAATGTGTCCCAGTTTGTGGTAATTCTTAAACCCATTTATAATGCGCATGTCCGCGGTTTCTATGGAATATAACTTTCTCTGGTTATTTGAATTAGACGCTTCATTTGTAGCGATGCTAGTTTTGTTTAAGTGTTTAGTATTGTAAAAGCTATTTTGTTTAGTTTGTAGTGGATTTTAATAAAATTGGAGTGGTTTCGTTTAAAATTACCGCAACCTGGTTAGTATTGATCGAATTTCACCCAGTTCTGATTGTGTTGGGCAGTTTTTGTTTTGAAACTGGGGTAGTTTAGTTACCAATTGAGCGAAAAGGTTAGAATTTTTTTTATTAAACTTATTAGATTATAATTTTGATTTTGCAATATTCAAGTAATTAAAATTTGGCGTTAATTTCAATAATTAGAATTACAAAAAAAAATTGTTTAGACAAAAATACCTTCAAGATGATTCAACGTGGTTCATTGGCAATTGTGATGTGGTGACTCTTTCTGTCGGGTTTTTAATCATTTTAAACCGAGTCCATGGTTTGGATGAGGTGAAGTCACCGCGTGCCCCCACCTTTTGACTTTTCACTCAGTGGCCAAGCGGTTTGAACTAAGCTTGGAATCCCAACCAGTGAACTGAGCACCTTTGAAAACGACGCGGACAGGTGGTTGTTATTTTATTTACGCGAAATACAAAAAAATTTTGAAAATCATTTCCAAAAAGATCACTTAAATTTAAAGGGTTTTTTTAGTATTCTTTTTGTTGTGTGGGGTTTCGTATGTGGAGAATCATTCTTGTGTGACCTCTACGTTGGAAATAGTGTTTACTCGCCCACAACTACGTAGACTGCTACCTGTTGGAACGGATATTTAAAAGGTCGCCTAATTTTGGTATGTACAAAAATATCCGCCGATTATTTGTGTAAAAGAGAAATTACGACTTTTTTTGTTGATAAAGTTGGAGTTATTACAGTAATAATAAAGGTAAAACAAATTGTTTTGTGAGAGAGCGTATCTTACTGAGCCACACCTGTGAAAGTCGCTTCAAAATTGTTGGCAACACTGTAAAATTAAAGTTGCGATTCTATCGGCGTTGCCTCTCTCTAAAAATTTATTAAAAAAATCAAAATTCTCCTAATTTATAATCACATGATTATTACTCATTTTTAATTACACATACTTTATTCATCAACCCAACATTCCTATTAGGTTACTCAACACTAACCTCTTTTAAGTCACATTAATGATTTAATTACCTTGGGCACTAATAACAAAATGAAGAGTAACTTATTAAACAGAAACAAAGGTGTTATGATGTTTTAATTATGTTGCAATTTCCAATAGTAGATCAAGGTTCTAAGTAATCGTGTTATTATCGAACAATGACTCGGTTAACGATGAAAAATAAATCAAAACTCATTTTGAGTTTATTATTTCTTGGAAGGAAATGCAACAGGAAACCGACAAATACACGAGCGGGGAATAATAAGCTGTTATAGTCGTTTTTTTTAAAAACCATCTTTTAAAAAATTCTACCTGGCTACGACCCTAACGTTGCTTTATAAAGGTGTAACGTTCGTCTGCCGTCTGTTTCCTTTTTTGAAGAAGCCAAACTTCGGGCAGACGAAGCTCCAGACGGTGTAAAGCAGGTGTTAAAACTGTACTCATTGTTTGCCACAACCCCCGGGGTGTCTTCACCTAACGAAAAAAAGGGCGATTTGTTACAAATTTCTGTGTAAACAAATCCTTTGGATTTACAACTCCTACTAGAAGTAGTAGCTCGTAATTCATACCTGGAAAGATTATAAAGTAGAGTATGTTTATTTCTTTATTTAAAACCTTTTTATGATTTATAATTAACAATCCAAAATTTATTTCCCCTCCTGGTTAATGTTAATATCTTTAAATAAAAACCACTTTTATTGTTTTAAAATAAAAAATACCTAGAATTGTATTTTCTCCTTTAAAACCTAAACTATCAGCTATAAATCTTACAGTCACCCTATAAACAAACGTATCTAATAGGGCGATTCGATTATGTTAAAGTCGTTTAGTGAAGCGATTAGCTGTTCTAATTTTCTCATGACGTTCTTAAACCCGAATGATTCACGTGTTTAGTTGTTATTCTTGTTAAGTCTAAGACAAGCTTAAACTTTTTACGTAGGTAGAACTATTTAATTTGTCACTTATTCGACGTAATCGTGTAATATAAACGTTGTAAAAAGAGGAGTCAAGGTCGATTTTGTTATGAAAACACAAATACTTCTTTACTGACAATAAATTTTCTATTTTTATTCTTATTTTGTTTTGTTAAAAAGGTACAAGATCGTTTAGAAAATCCACCAGAATTACCAAAACCGGTGTGTTTTAATTGTGCGGAAACATCACGAGATATCATCACACTTTGTACTAAAATAAGAAATAGAGATACTAAAGAATTATATGACTTATTAAGAACCCCCTATTTAAAATCGCTTTTAACGATTCACGACGATATCGCGAAAATCTCGGAAATGCCGAACGCGGAGAAAGATTCTCCCGATGTGGAGACTTTGCCCGAATTTAACGGAAATGGCGAAACTATTAGAATGGTTGGATTGAGAAAGAAACAAGGACAACCTTTGGGTTTAACCGTGCAAGTTGATGATAATGAAAATTTAACCGTAGCCAGGATATTAGAAGGGGGAATGATTGATAAACAAGGATTATTACACATTGGTGATGTTATCTTAGAAGTTAACGGTGTTCCTGTTTATACTCCAGAAGATTTACAATCCGAAATTGCCAAAGCTAAGGAATCCGTATCTTTAAAAGTTGGACAAACCGATGGAGCCTCAACACACGCTTCATTAATTTCAAACGGAACATCCAAAAATGGAACAACTAAAAAATTAACCGTTAGTTTAAATTTAATTTAACCCAATAATTTTAATTACTTAATTATTTCTAGTGTTACATGAGAGCTTTATTTGAATACGTACCAGAAGAAGATACATTACTCCCATGTAAAGAAATCGGTCTCAGCTTTAACAGAGGAGACATCCTCCAAATTGTCGATCAGAAAGATCCAAATTGGTGGCAAGCAAAGAAAGTTAACGGTGATGGGAAAGTCGGTTTAATTCCATCAATTGAATTAGAAGAAAGACGAAAAGCTTTTGTTCCGCCCGATTACGACTACGTTCACAAAATTAGTATTTGCGGGGCAAAAATATCTAAAAGGAAAAAGAAAATAATCTACAAATCCAAAGCAAGCAGCGATTTTGATAAAGCCGAATTATTACTTTACGAAGAAGTTACGAAAATGCCACCGTTCAAAAGGAAGACTTTGGTTTTGATTGGATCGCAAGGGGTTGGAAAAAGGACCATTAAAAATCGATTGGTTAATAGTGATAGTTCTAAATTCGCTGGGGTTATTCCATGTAAATATAAAAAAATGTTTTATTTTTTAAGTTATTTAATAAAAATTCTTTTAGATACAACAAGGCAACAAAGAGTTTTAGAAGAAAACGGACAAAGTTATTGGTTCGTATCTAGAGAAGAAATGGAAAATGATATTAAACATCATAAATTCTTGGAATATGGGGAATATAATGGAAATTTTTATGGGACACATTTGGATTCGATACGAGATGTTATTAATTCGGTTTGTTTTTGTTAATTAATTCTTTATTTATGTTATTGAAGCCGCGGGACTGGATGATATCATCTACGCTATTTTTATTTTCGATTTAATCTAGCAATGAATAATTTAATTCAATATTAGTATTCTATACACAATGGAAAATTTAGTTCAATAACAGGATTAATTGTGTAGTCGAATCAAATTCAGTTATTGGAGTAGATATCAGACTAATTTCAATGCAATAAGAAATTTTGTCTAATCGTATTAACTTAAAGAATACCGATTAGACGATGTAAATTTATTGATTGAATTATATTTATTGGTACTTTATGGTGTAAGTAGCACCTTTTAAACATTTCATATTTAATTTTGCATTAAATGTCGAAAGTAATTATCCAGATTGATATATTTACATTTACAAGAATTAGATATAAAGCTAAGAGAACCAATCTTTGCAAAGCAATCACTAAGATCTATTTTACCTGGATAGATAGCTGGGTTATATTTTATTTCTATTAAGGTACAAATATGTTGATTGCAGAACAGTGCTATGAAACATATTCTGCTGTTTTCCTAGCCTCTAGGTACTCTACATATCATTAAATGGTTGTCCTCCATATGAACTCTCGTTAGAACCTTGATGCGCTACCATGGTCTTGGATAAATCTATATATCCTTAGTTTTTACGATAGAGATATTGATATTAAAATTGCCGTTTGTTAGCTTCGCCCAAGCAAATGTTTGTTACAAGTTATGGATTGTAGTGCCAGGAGATCGGCTTGACTGGATTTTAGACTGGGTTTAACCCGGAATTAAATTAAGCAAAGATCACGCTTTCTAGTGTTTTATTTAATATTCTCCAAAAATCACTAAGATAGCGAGCCAGTAAAGCTCAACGAAGCACGAGTCAGTAAAAACTGTTAATGAGTTCACGCAAAAATGTAAACCTTTAAATATTTTAATTCATAAACTAAGTCTCATAGGCACATACAAATAATTTTGTAAAAAGTGCTAGTTCTTCCTCTATCAAGCTATTACTACATACGTACTTATCATCTGACCACTATCACCTAGAAAAAATAAAGAATCTAAATTCTCTACAAATAAACATTCTATGAAGTATTATGTTGTGTCAATCCAAAATATACAATTTCCTTCGCAATGCTGTTTTTGATGTACGTTCACCTTGAATAGTTAGATGAGTTAATCGTCTCCACTATCTGTTTCTGGTGAGAGGCACAATTATTGACTTCAGTAGGCGTTCTTCTAACACAAACTTAATGATCATCAATTTAATGGTTCTCGGAAGACATTAAATATCTTCGACATTTAACTATAATGATAATTATCGTCTTCATATATTTGTATTTATAAAGAATGTTTAAAAATATTTCGGATGTAATTTATATCTTACACGGTCAAAAACAAATCATCGGCTATATATTCAAATATACTGCCAGTATATAAGTTGTACTTATTATACATCCTCTAATGTTAAAGAGAGATACATGATTGAAAGAAGTCTCTGGCTGTAAGAATTGGCTATATTAAGACAAAATCTACTGTTATTTGAAAATTTACGGGCCAGGCAGATCACAATGATGGTGTTATGGAGCCATAATAGTACACTGTTGACAAATACCAAATAAGGAGATTTTATACACTTCAACTTCGTGAAGTTCGTACTTATATTAATAAGAAACCCCAAACTCCATAGGGACTTCTTTACTATAAGTAAAATAAATGATACTCAATATGATGATGATAATGCCATTTGGTTATAATGAATGTTAAGAGTATAACGATTCGGAGTGAATATTTTTTTTTTAGTATCTCTCGAAGTTTAGGTAAAGTATGTTAAGGCGATAATAGTTCAGATATCAATAGACCTTATTCTTGTATATATTTTGTCATCGTCGGCATAGATCCAAAATATTGGGACGACGAGCACCAATTTCCACATGTTTGGATACTTTCAATTAAAGACTTGGAAAAAATACGAAACAGTGGCAGGTTGCTCAGCAATAAACCGTTTTAAGAATAAAATTGAACTATTATCCGGACTAGGGTTAGAAAACTAGCTAAGATGCGATAAAGTATTAAGAACCGTGTCTGCAGTTCTTGACTGAATTGTCGATTGTACCATGAAGACTAGCATCTTGGACATGTACACCTTTGGATCATTAGTAAAAGTCGAAATCCCCTGAGGTATCTTCAAAACCATTTCCAGAACAAAGATTCACGCAAGACTCACAAAGTATTGTTATATGTGGCTGTACAAATGGTAATGTTAGGTGATACGATCATCATGATCTGTCAGCCCTCTGTGTCCACTGGTGAACATAGGCCTCTCGTATATCCACCCATTTCTTCCTGTCCGGTGCTGCCTGCATCCAGTTGCTAGCAAATGTCTTGATGTCATCCGTCCATCGAGTTGGTGACCTCCCTCTACTCCGTTTGTCAGCTCGAGGTCTTCATTCCAACAGCCTTTTCGTCCACCTTTATCGTGATTTCTTAGTGATACTCCAAGCTTTGATCATTCCATTTTATGCTGTGTTGTTCTAAGCCTGTTGGTAATACGATGATCATCTCCAATTCATATCGCATTACACTTTCTTTAAAATTTTGGCTATCAACTGCTGTACCGGCAGGGTTTGTTTCTGTTTCGTCTGCGAACGATTATGGTTCCCTATTCTCAAAATTTGTCGATATTTTTAACATTTACAATAACTGTTTAGTGTTTTATAGTCTTTTATATTGAGTCAACAAGTATTGTAATAATTGTTCTATGCGATGAATACCTTGGCATCTTTGTGCTTACAATTAGGTTGATAAAGGTCGCGGTTGCGCACTTTTCGATATTTGATCCGATAACTTTGTACGACGTGAATCATGGTTATCTTCGGTGTTAATAGTTGAGTTGTTTCTACGATTATCTAAAATCCAGAAAACTTGACCAGCAATTCGCGTCCTATGAGTGACTATGCTTTTAGGACAAATGAATATTGCGATAACGTCTTGATACAACGCCTATGTAACTGTAACTCATGGTAAATAACTTGGTAAATCATATCACTTTTTGATCTTGGTAACATAGATCAGTATTTCATCACTTCCTCTTTATCACTATCTTAAATTTTATCACCACTTTTTAGAGATGATGTGATACGATTTACAGTTTCGCACATATTTTGCTATGTCTCGGAATATTCTTTATAATAATAATAGTACAATTTTTGACAATTTTTAGATATTCAATGGTTGGTGCATGATAATTTTCCTTCAGCACTTTAATTGTAATTAGTTTTGGGAGATAAAGCTATTATAGATTAAAAAGATAAAATTCAAAGTATCTCAAAAATGGCGTTACACAGTAGTTTGAAAATTTACATTCACATTGTTATTCTGTATTTACGCTGGCGGTATCTTGTACCTTGTTTAACTTTGTTTAATAGCTCTCGATATTTCATCTCTAAATAGAATTGTTGAAGACACATTGCTCCTCTCCCAATTCTTCCTGACGGACGTTTAGTGGAGTGTATCCGCTGAAGAGAGAATCGGTAATTATGATAAAATCACGCTCCTTAAATATTGATCGCATCTTTTGTGTTCCACATATCACTGCGAGGCATTAGTAGCGGAATAAATTTTTTTGGTTGTAAAAAGATCGGGTCGCATAACCCTCCATCTACACTCGGTTGTGTCAATGCCCCACAAAAGCTTTGATCCAAAGCATTGCTTTGTAAGGTGAATTTCCTCGAGAAATGAGGCCTTGCCAAAGGGGGCGTATCGGTAAGTGCTATTTTAAGAGAATTAAAAGCTTCATTTCCATAAAGGGATAGAGGTCGAAACAGTGATGGCTCTGATTTTTGCGATTTCAAACTTCGCAAAATCTAACTTTTCCATCCATCAATCGCATTATTACTGATAAACATCTCATAGATTTCGGAGATACGAACAGATTGTGTGGACGGTAGCTTTCTTTTATCGCTCACTTTCAATAATGTTTTGCCCAATCATTCAGATTTCAGCAAGCGAGTAGAAGACTTTTCCCCGTTTTATTCTATTAGCTATTAACCATTTAGTTTCGAACGACGGCAGCAAACGTTATTTGATACCTGATTCAACACAATCGAGATTTTGTTGAGGCAGGTTGTGCTATATGATGACGCATAGAAGAAATGTGCTTGCCATATTCAATAAAGACATTTCTTTCGTTTGTTTGACAACCTGGGATATTTTGGTTACTCTTAACTGAATCTACTAGGTAAGGAAATATTTGATAATTTTTGTGTGTCGAACATGTCGTCCACGCAACTATGAAAAATAACTTTCAACAATTAGCGTTTAGCTCCATTATGGTTAGGAACGATAAAAAATAGTCTAATTAGTGTTTCGACTCCTGTTGTGCTGGTACCAATAAAAAAATCCAGTTCAATAAAAGGTTTGGTCATTCATAAAGCTCCAATACAATGCATTGCATGGACTGAGTTTTCAATCAATGACAGTCAAATGCTGTGAAGAATCTATCAAGAATAGTTATATATTGTAACTAAAGTACTCATTGAAACAACAATCTAGTTATTGAACACGTCAATTACTGGAATTATTGCATTATTATTTTGTAAATGATTTCATCCAGCCATTTTTGATCTGATCTAACATTGGAGATTAAAGGCGAATAATAGGATTGTCTATTCGCCAGATTGTACTAAAATTAAAAACTTGTTCAGGCAATTTCCGTGGTAATGCAATGTTAGATTATATCTGCGATCTATTTAATATTACAGCAGACTAGAATGTTCGCTGGTATTATAGACTTGCTTGTAGAACTAATTGCTTACTGGTATTAACCATCATATTAAATCTGGTGCTTTACGAATAATAATCTTTACACTTTGACGGTTTGAGACGCAACTGGAATAACTGTGTACTTTTTAGCAGAGCCACCACGTGAGGATCTTTCGATAACTTTTAAGCACATAGAATTGTCTGGTCGATTAGATCGTTATTGTAATTTGTTTTGTACTTATTGTAAAGCATAAAACAGTGGTTGTGGCCAACGATGCATAGTGTGGCTGCACCTCATAAAAAAAATATGCTATGTATAGCAAATTTGTGGTTGATTACAAATTTTTTGAATTGAAAAAATTAGGTGAAGCTAAATGACATATCGCACTCCTAAAAGAAAACTGTCACAACTTAAAACATTGTAAATCGTTAATAAGATCGGATGAACAAGCCCATCAGCAGTGTCAAAGTTCTTGTTCGGTTCTGTATTTAAAAATAACTTAGTCTTATAAAATATTATTTGTACTGCAGGTAAGAATCTTTTTACTACAGATCATATTGAAACTTATTTAAAACATCCTCCGAACCTATGCTTTTCTTCATCAAATTGAGATGACGCCAAAAATGGAAGAAATAAACTGATTTCAACAGGTAGCTTAAAAAAACAGATATATCATTGCGTACAGAACTGTAAGCAGAAACAGGATATTTCAAAAAAAAGCCTAACTTTTTCGTTATTGTGCTATCATTTGACAGATCAAAGGAAATGACTAATGCATCAAAACACTAGTCTCTATATCAGTCATGTGATGAAACTACACATTTCACCCCACTCTGATGTTTAACGAAAATTAAACCTGAACAGAGATTGTAATTTTTCTTAAACATTGGGATTTGTAAAGAATTGAAAGAATTGGCATGAAGATGTGGCTTCTTTGCCAATTTTGTTAGCGATGACGAATTATTCCTTGCATTAATATTGTGAATATGAACATCGTACAGTTACCTCTTCGTATACAATGAAATCTGTTGTGTTCGTTAGTGGGAGGGTCCCAAATAGAACAATAACTGTTTATTTTAACACGTTTATTATAACAAAACGATAAATTACATATAATTTACTTTGTATATCATTTACTGTTATTCTTGACCTAGCAGTAACACGCCGCAGACCGAACGATTCTAGTTGACGCCCTCGAAACGTAGCCAGCACGTTTTCTTTCGCTCATGCGCATATATGACACTCCTCCCTCCCGGATTTCTCGAACATTACAAACGTAATCTTCTAAATACTGAGGTTTCTTTCGTTGTCTTGTTGGTCTCTCTCTGGTTTCTCTTGGACTCTATTGCTCCTGGTGGACTGGATTCAACGTTCTCTGATTGCCGATCTTGGCCATTCGTATTGCTTAGGTCACACGTAACGAGTACAGTGGCGAAACAGTAAAATGACACTAGGCCGAGAGAGTAGCGTAGCACTCGGTCCAGTAAATAGAATAGGGTCCGAGTGACTGTCTCGCCCTGGTACTAGGTCGAGCGCTCGGCCGAGCACTCGGTAATATGTCCGTAATATATATCGTCCCATCAATATCTCCGCGAGTGATTTTCCAGTTGTACTATGAGGTGTACAATGCTGTGTTAGTAGATATCTTGCTATTTATATTTATCTTCTCCAACACCGCCTTCACGTTTTGCACTATACGTTCTGCCTGACCATTATTACAAGGGTGATAGGGCGTAACTAATACTTATCTGATGCCATTCTTTTTTAGAAAATCTTTATATTCTGCAGAGGTAAACGCTGTACCGTTCTCAGAGACGATGAGCTCTGGCAAACCGTCATAATTGTCTCAATACTGAGATTGTTGAAGCATTTGACATAGTCTGAATTTGATGAACCTCAGCCATTTTGAATAAGCATCAACTGTAATTAGAAGTGTCCTTCCTTTTACGTGTAATCTCGACCAACGCGCTTTTGCCCACTCCCATGGATGTACTGGTGCCTTAGCTGGCATATTTCGCGTTTCTTGGCAAACTTTGCACGTATTAATTTTTTACTCAACCTGCTTATCTATCCCTGGCCACCAAACATATGATGTTGCAAGGGCTTTCATCTTCACGATTCCTGGATGTGAAGCATGGAGTTCTAGTATCTCTTTTCTCCCTCCTGGGGAATCATATTGTTCCCCATAGGATACAATCCATGTAACATGATAATTCTTTGGCTTTTGCCACAAAAGATTGAAATTCTGCACACACTTCCTTGGGATTTCGAGGCCATCCTTTCCAACTCCATTCTCTTACCATGGAAAAGATTAGATCCTTTGCCGTAGCAATCGCTATATCATTTTCTTCTATCATTCTTTATCAACTTTGAGTGGTAATCTGCCCAACGCATCATCATTTGCTAAATCATTCACACACAAATACTGATAATAGGTAAGAAAATGTTTGAAAAGTGGACAGACGACGCTTGATGAAGTTTAAAAACGCCAAACGCCAATCTTATGATGTATTTCAAAACTTAATTGTTTACTATTAAACCAAATTATTCAAATTTAATATATTGTTTGAGTTGTGATAGTGTTCTCTGCTTGTTGTCAATGACAACAATAAATGAATATGTGGGTTTAAGGCAAGAACAATAGAATCTAACAGGACTGATGTAGCATTGTTGTGACAACGTGCCCGCACACTACGTCACACCATTTTCCACGCCCAGTCAGCTGTTATTGTGTTCTATGCGTTTGCTGTATATTTTTAGAGGTCATATCGTATATCGTAGATGTATTGAAGTTTTATTTTTTTAGACGTATTAATGTCTATCATATAACCTCTAAAAACACACAGCAAACGAATAGAACTCAATGACAGTTAACTGGGCGTGGCAAATAGTGTGACGTAGAGTGCGGGCAACCAACCAGTGGTCTACAAAACAACAATGGATATAGCAGTTCTGTTAGATTCTACAGTCCTTGGGTTCAAGGCACAGTTTAAATTTAAAAATTGTCTCATTTCCATGAAAGCTGGTTCCACAAAATGTGATAATGTGCTTATATTTTTTATATTAACTGTTACTGCTAACTGTTGAAATCAATTAAACTTTCATCTTCTAGAGAGTAAATGGCTATTTTCTGGTTTTAAAATCATCTACGTTACATTTATATTGTACCGTTTATGTATAAGATTGACGTGGTTGGCCAGATTCCACAAAATATGAGAATTGTGCGTCAGAAAAATCAAAATAGTTTGTAGCTCCGATAAAAAATTACTACGATGATGGTTTTTAGATTGAAATCGGTTTTCATACAAAATCACAAATTAGTTTACCGTGATAGTTAAAAGATAATTGGCATATGAAACAGAAAGCAAACAATGGGTGATTAGTTCTACGAACAAATCTATTACCAACTAATGTAATATTTTCTTACAAACAACCTTTTCATTATTTTATTTTTGTAGGGAAAAATGTGCGTTTTAGATTGCAGTCCACAATCGTTAAAAATCCTTCATAACAGTTCGGAATTTTTGCCATACGTCATTTTTATAGCTGCCCCAGGAATGGAACATTTAAAAACTTTATACGACGTAGGAAGAAGCACTACGAATTTACGATATTCCAGTAGAAACTTAGCGGTAAATGATTAAGTCTCAATAATTGTTTGTGTTTGAGATTGTTTTTTTTTATTTTCCCCATTTTAAAATTTATTTTATTTTTGCATGGTAGTTTGATCGCCAAAACTCGTTAAGGTACAGCTCGAGAAGAGCAAGAACCCTAGAATCTCTAGCTTCATTATACGAGGTAAATAATTTTCTTATTTATGTAAAATTTTTAAGATTGTATGATGTATATGTATTTGAATTAATTTTTTTGTAACAGGAGGATGATTTGAAGAAAACTTTAGAAGATAGCGCTAGCATGCAAAGAATGTACGACAAATATATCGATTTGGTCATCACAAATAAAGATTTCGATTCGACATTTAGACAAGTTATTGAAGCTTTGGACAATCTAACCACTGAGCATCAATGGGTACCGGTTAATTGGATTTATTAACTGCCATATATTAAAGAATCTCATCTTCGCACACGAATACAGCGAAAATAGTGATAAACAAAAATGGAATTAGATTAGATTTAGATTTATTTAAGATTTACTAATATTAATTTTTAAAGTTATAAAAACTTAATCATATACAAGATAAAAATGTACAAATATATAATATGTACAGATTTAATAAAATAGAGACGTTAAGCTTTAGATTGTATCCACACTAGAAAAGTCTGATTTTGAGAATATATATTTTTACATCACCAAGAAATCACCTAAAAATGAATGTAAAATCATTTATATTATGTAATCTTTCTGTTAGAGTAACAATAACATCTTTATTTAAGCTACACATGTAGAATTTAGCAGCAACAGAAATAAATACGGACGAATAAGTTTAATTCTAAGTTAAGCTTGATGCAAAAAGAAAATGTAAATACATTCTTCTGCGAGTAAAAACGTACTACATCAGTTAAAAATTATTTTTTATTAAATACTTTTTATTCTAGATTTTCTGTTTTTTAAGTAATAATTAATTGTTATTTAATTTTATATAGTGCTATATTATTATACGATTTTTTTACAGAATATACTCTATCGCTAACCGTCCATGTGTTCAGGGATATCGTTCAATTTTAATATTTTTAATTATCAAATTATCATTAACTTTTGTTATCATTCTAACACTAGTTTAGATGGTACTCTTTTATTGTAGTTTATGTATTTTGCCCTGATTTTTATATCATCATGTATAAAGGTAATAATAAAGACTTAATTATGTTAATATTGCTTTTTATTGCACTTAATTTTTTAGCAACACTTTTAACGTCAAAATTATTCAAGTTTTAGGTTAGATATCTGTCAGCCGTGTTTAAACGTCATCCGGTAGACGGCGTTAGTGCTGATAAATTTAGCAACGTGTGTTTCTAAAGTGAATACTCATTTTTATAGTTTATTGAATAAAACGTAGTGGTTTTAAATAAAAACATCTTCAAAAATGTTTAATTAAAAGTTATCGAGTGAATATTTGAGTTAACATTGTTCTTTACCGTTTTAGTAAGTTTGTTTTATTTTGACAACTGTACCTAACCTAACTTTTTATAAGATATAAATATCGCGGTTTTGTGGTAGATTAAGTTATCAAATATAGATAAAACATATAAAATAATTAATTTAATTAGATTTAAACAATAAAGTAAATAAAATTTCTTTTAAATCAAAATAAAATAACATCGTTAAAAAAATAAAGGTTCGCAGCTAATTTCACGTGTATTTTGGATTTGTTTAAAATTTTAAATTTTTTTAAGGTTATGATTTTTAATTTTCAAAAACAACCCAGTATTGTATTTAAAATTTGCGACAAATTCCTTAAAGGCTTTAAATTAACCACTAAGATGTCTCGTGCTAATGTTTACGTACAAACTTTTAACAATTCAAAATACTTTTCAATTAATTGTGAAAATAATGAGGAAGACGACGAGATACTCATAACGGCCAAAGATATGGTACCAAAAATTCAAACTGACGACATCGAATGTGGAGACGAAAGTCAGGTAAGAATGTTTTTAATTATATTTTGTTTGCCAACTAGATATCAGAAACAAGAACTTTTAGTAATAACTTATTCAATGGTTTTTGGTCCAACGAGGAAACGTGGCTATTTTTGATTATCCCGATAATAGCCCATTGTTGTCAACTCAAGCGTTACGCTTTATGTGAAATATTAACACCCTCACTGTAATGTGTTTCATCCCCTGTATATAACGGCTTTATACTTTGTTGCGGGATGCTGAAATATGAAATAAATTCCCTCTTGGTTCGCTTTCACACGCGTGTTTCGTATATCATGAAGCTCTCAGAATGATTATGGTCGTTTGGAACGTAATGTTGAGTATAATAAATTCGCGAGTTATAACATCTTCTTGAAAATTACATTTTTTTTTGTATTAATACCTTATTTAATCTCTGGATACACGCGCGGGGAATCAGTTCGCGCAATTAAAAAAATAAAATTAATTAAAATTTCGTATTATTGCGTAAAATTTCTAATTACGCATTAACGCCATCTTTTGTTGACTAGCTGTTCAAATGACAGTATTTAAATGAATATAAATATTCGATATTGTTAACAGACACCAATAACAATTCTTGTGAAATGTTATGTATATGTTACAGACCATATATGTAAACAAGACCGTATACAAAAGGACTAGTCCATATGTAAATGGACTGAAATTATTAGTCTATATGTGTAAGAAGCTTGTTCTTTAATAAAAGGACTAGTCTATTTATAAACGGTCCATCTGCAAATACACGATATACATATTACTGTAATATTTTAAACAAAGAAAAAAATGCATTTTTTATTTATTTGTACAAGTTAGACTATTGTGGCATTTTGAGTTACATAATACATTATTTTTTCGACAAGCACATTTGTTTGACTGACATTTAGTCTTACAGTAACATTTTTTGAAACCTTGCCCATGCCCAGTAGATTGACTTGTAGCCCCCGATCTAAGAGAAACTTCCTTATCTTTGGTGATTTCTTCAATTTTCAAAATGTTAGCAGGACATATACTAAATTCTGAACGACTGTAGTATTTTGACATGACTCCTAGTTTTGTACCCAAGCGGTAAAAACCATTTTCTGTAGCTTCTAACACTACCGGTAATACTGACCGAGCATCTCCCCTGCCACGATCGACATCTGGAACAGGAATCCTCACAGTTGATTCAATCTGTGGTTTTGGATGGGTGCTATCTGATATTAATTTCATTCGTTTTGCCTGTGCTTGTAATCCATCATAAGCGCCCTTTCTGGCATTTGCTATGTTTCTATTGCAAAAATTGCAAATATTTTCCATGGACGTGCTCTCAGCATGTGAGGCATCACGATTAGTGGGATTGAAACAACTACCGCATATTTCATACGAGAGTGTTTGAGTGTTATTGTTATTTTCTAGTGGTACATTTTCGGTCGTTGCTGTTTGGTGCAATTGGGATTGNTTTCGTATATCATGAAGCTCTCAGAATGATTATGGTCGTTTGGAACGTAATGTTGAGTATAATAAATTCGCGAGTTATAACATCTTCTTGAAAATTACATTTTTTTTTGTATTAATACCTTATTTAATCTCTGGATACACGCGCGGGGAATCAGTTCGCGTAATTTAAATTTCTAATTACGCATTAGCGCCATCTTTTGTTGACTAGCTGTTCAAATGACAATATTTAAATGAATATAAATATTCGATATTGTTAACAGACACCAATAACAATTCTTGTAAAATGTTATGTATATGTTACCGGCAATCTGTATAATCCGGTATTCTATACAATACCTAGGCAATTTATAGAATACCTAAAACGTTTAGGTGATATATTTATGTAATATTATTAATTTTATACTTTGCCTAAGTATTCTATAAAATACCGAATGCGAAGCCGGCAATGTGTGGAAAAGGCGAAAAAAGGGAATATCTTTGGTATATCTTTACCTCTCGATCATACTCATAACCTGGAGAGTGAAGAGGATCTAGAAAATGTGATTAAGTCATCACCAAGTATTCCCATTCCTTCAGAATCTTTAATATAGAAGTCAATCTCGAAGCTCAACATCAACAAAGCCCCATCATAGAAAGTTCTGAGATCTGTAATGAAGCTACGAATGCTCAAAGTGCGTTTGATGAACACATGACTATCCGAAGTGCCGAGATTCTTAATGAACCTGCGAATGTTGAAGGTCTTCTTTCTGAGGTACATAGACAACCCTTAGATGTTCTAAATTTCGTATCAGAACGTGAGCAATCATTGGATTCCCCACTCTTGTGCTGTGTTTCTACTGAGGAGACAACGGGTGCTCATTCGTGTAGAACATGCAATAGACCCATTCATGCTATTTGTGCTGCCCCGAAGGAAGGATGGCAGAAGGCTATGGTTCTAAAGTTGTTTGCCCATTATACTTAAAAACGCTTTAGCTGTAGAGAACTGCATCAGTTCCAAAGATAATTTAACAGAGCAAGCTCAGAAAATATTTAACACTTCTGAAAAAACAATTTCCCTTTGTGCCATTGGGTACCACTGTAAGAATCCCTGTTCCGAAAGTCGACAGAGGTCATGGTGATGCTCCCAATATACTAATTGTAGTCTTACAAAAAACGGATGACGAATTAAATAGGAACAACGCAAGGTGTTGTAAAGAATTTGTATTCAAGACAGCACTTTACAGTTTGTCGTCAAGAACTACTTAAAAAAAAAAGATGTCCCTTGATTACTTATAAGCAAAATACATTATGTTAGTTAACCCAGAAAAATTTTAAGTTTAATGTAATTTAATTGTGATTTTACCATGGTTACAGAAAGGTACTAGGTGCCTTTTTTTGTACAATAACTTATACATTGTAAAAACGTTTATAGTTACAGACCAAAATCTATTTATTTTACGCATTGCCGATTGACCAACAGGTACTCTATGTAATCCCTAAGAATTGTATACATTACCTAGGTAAAGTATCTAAGGGACAATAATCTTCATAATATTTCATACATTGCCTAGACACCCCCGGTATTTTATACATTACCTAGGCATTGTATAGAGTACCTGAATTATACAAATTGACGGTAACATATATAAAACAGAACTTCTTTTTATTAAGCTAATACTAAAACTAACAGTAGTTCTGTGAACCTGGAACTCGAGTTTACGATATTTTGGTTTTATTAGTACCATTCGATAGAGAATCGTTTATACTCGCCGTCGATCGCCTGTTTGCGCGATCAATTTACAATCACATTTTACGTTTTTCAAAAATGTACTTAAACTCCCTCATGTTGCAAGTTCAGACTCTTCTAAGTCAATATTTATAATATATTCATCTCCAATATTGTTTACGTCGACATTTATTTCGCTTTGTGTTATAATATTAACATCTACTATATCCTTTTCAAACTCCGATTTAATCCCCTGAATTAATCGTTTGTGGGCCCCATAACAACCTTCACTTAGATTTACATCTTCAGTTACTGAAAACGCTACAGTTAAGGTGTCACGTAACAGGGATTCAAATACTTTGAAAATACTACATTTTGTAAGAAGTCCAATACACCGCAGAAAGAATTCTTTGACATGTGTAGAAGTATTACAAAAACATACACAAGTACATAAAACAACTGAAAGGGGGTTTTAAACCCCATACCACATTGATGAGAGACAAAACTGGACATATAATCGCAGATCTGGCAAACACCAAACAAGCATGGCAAGAATATTTCCAACAACTTCTCGGAAATCCAGATAACCCAGAAGAAATTCCCCACCAACAAGACCAAGAGCAACAAGATGCGAACCGTCCTCTGATAGAACCACCTACATTACAGGAAGTCGAATTAGCTCTGCCAGCCCAAAAGAATAACAAATCATTTGGATTTGATGGAATAGCTATGGAACTATATAAAACAGCAGGGGAAAAACTCTTAGAACAACTGTACACTTCAATAGTTAACATATGGAAGGAAGAAAAGATCCCCAAGACTGGAAAAGGAGCGTTATCATCCCAATTCATAAAAAATGAGACAAATTGACATGCAAAAATTATCTACTAGATTCACTATCTTCAATCTCCCTACTGTGTACAACGAATACAGATATACACAGAGGACATCATTGGTGATTACCAAGCATGTTTCAGGCCAGGCAGATCCATTATTGACCAGCTATTTAGCGTTACATTGGAATTCGACATTGATGTTAGATTGTCATAGACTTTCGACAAGCCTATAACT